CTCATAATTAGACATATCAGCTGACTTAAATCCCAAATTTACCCTCATCTTTCTCATGTCAGTGAATGTTAACTCTTTTCCGTAACATGTTAACTCTTTTCTGTAAAATGTTAACTCTTTTGTGTAACATGTTAACTCTTTTCTGTAAGATGTTAACTCTTTTCTGTAACATGTTAACTCTTACAACTAACATGTTAACTCTAACAGCTAACATGTTAACTCTTACAACTAACATGTTAACTCTAACAACTAACATATTAACTCTTACAGCTAACATGTTAGCTGTAAGAATTAACATGTTATAGAAAAGAGTTAACATTATTGTGCCCACGCGAAGTTCCTCGGGACGGTGCCGGCGGCGGAGCGGGGGAGGGGCAGAGGGGGACCGGAGGAGGAGGAGGGAGGTGTAGGGGGAGGTGCAGCGGGGGAGGGAGGCGGGGGAGGTGCAGCAGGGGAGGGAGGCGGGCTCTTTTCGAGTTCTTCTTTTCTATTAGCATGTATTTGAATTTTTGAAATTTGCCATGTTCTTAGCTCTGACTTGAAAATTATCTGAATTTATTTTGTCTTTTTTTTTAAATAGATTACTCGTCATTTTTCCCCCAGAAGTTTTTGCTTTCAGCAAATGAATATCCTTTCCATAATTGCAAATGCAGTTTAACTAACAAACTTATGCGATAATCATTTTTGTGCCTCATTACTAATCACGGGTTTGATATAATTCAACCACACAATTGTAAGGATCGTGAAATTTTGATATTAGTTAAAATAATTTTCTAGTATTTTAAATATTTAATTATTATTTTTGGAAGAGTATTTATATTTTTCTCAAATTTCTACAATTTTCTATGATTTAAAGTCTAAGTTTTATATTTATTTAAATGATATTAATATTTATAAATTAATTTTATGCGGTAAAAAATTATGGAATTTATCTGTTGCGTTATCGATACTGTTACATGTCATTTTGAATAATATGTTGTATTATTTTTTATTGTTACGTATATTTTCGTATAATACGTTGTATTATTAATTGCGTATTATTTGTATAATTTGCTATATTATTTCTACTATTATATATTATCTTTCGTATTAGTATAACTTGTATGTTTTACTGTGTATATAATTATCCCATAATTGTTTGATTTTAAATATAAGTAAATATATTTTATTTATTAATTATTCTCATTTAATTATACAATATGGGTATATTTTGACTATTTCGTATCAACTGTTGTAATAGCACAACATGTACGTTTTTAATTATAGATAATTATTATGTAATTAGTTTATCAGATGATAATGTTTCCATCTGAGGTTGGATTGCCTTCTTTGGGCTTTCAAAAGTTACACGCCTCGAAATGTGCCTTTGTGGGCGCGAGTCTTCAGCGTGCTCTTGGACTTCGATGCGCAAGTTGGTGAGCGCAGCTGCCTTGAGTTCTTTGTCGCGTTGAGGGTTGCGGCGACCCCCAGCGTGTTGAGTCGTTCTGGGCTTCTTCATCGGGCCCAAACGCTCGTGAACTGGAGCTTTGCCTCTCTCATCGGGAAGTGGACCGAGGCGCTCCAAGACTGGCTTTATTCTTTGGGAGGATTCTGCATGATCTCCCGGAGTAGCTATGGGAACTCTCGGCGACTTAGCTTGGTTCGCCGGAGGTTGAACTTTAGTTGGAGGCTGCGAAGGTTGCTCCTTAGCCTGAATTGCCGCTTCAGACTTTGGCTTCCAAACTTTGCGAGTTGGTGGCGGCTTCTTGGCTACCTCTCTTTGCAACTTTCTACGGGCTTCTTCAGCTTGAACCCGTGCCTGCGCTGATAGTGCGCGGCGCTTGCGAATACGCTCCTCCAGCGTCGATCGGTTCCGTTTGACACGGATCCATTCCATTATTGGCGGCTTGGAAGAGGCGCCGTTCATCTGTTGTTGAGGCTGTTTGCCTCTTTTGTTCTTCAGATCCGTGTTGTAGCGGATCCCGTCAACGGACTCCATGGCCTTTGGTACAGATTCACAGCACCCCTCCTCGCCGTCCTCCGGCGACTGTAGATCTGAGCTCCGTCCAACGCCGCTGCCTTCATCCCGCTCGAGCCGCCGACGTCGCAATTTAGATACACCGCTCGATCAACCTCAGATCCGCAGTTGACTGTGCCGTTCAGATCCGTTGTACCGCATCCGTAGTGGCATCGCCGCCTCATCATCAGACCCCACGGTCTCGCAGGCAAGATCCTGCTTCTCCTTGGCTTGTTATTTCCATTATTTATATCCGTTATTAATTGATTGCGTAGATTAGGTTGTGATATGATTAGCTGTAGTATATTGTGAATTACCTGCGTGGGATTGCTTGACATGAATAGCTGTGTGGAAACTTGTTGTGTTATCACTTAGTTGTTACCCAATAGGAGAGACTGTACATGAAGACGACTTCTGTTAAAAGTATGATTTATAAGCGTGCTTCAAAGCATGGCTATACTCGCTCGACATCGATATCCCGATGTGAGGAGACCCGAGTTCCCTCGATATCGATATCCCGGTATGAGGTTTCCTTGATTATTATTATTATTATAGCATTGACTGGATGATGCACTCTTGATCGGACGTGTTACGAGTCACGATTATTTTCATAGTTTTACAGAAGTCGTTCCACGGTAACTCCGTGGCTAGTGCACAATATTTCATGTATAGTTGCATAATTAATATGACAAACATGGGGTTATAAAGGGGAATTGGACGGAGAATATAGCATGTATATAAACGGGCACAGCGCTTTCTTGTTATCGTGATATCGTGAGTGTTATGTACATGGGCCAGAGGGCCAATACTTGACTTGAAGGCGGCCCTCGGATGACTTTACGGGGACCCGATTATACACATCAAAATATTCTTCCCCAATTCAAATAACATGTAAAATAAGAATAATATGCTTGCGGGACTTCTGGTGGACTTTGTTGGTTTTATGAGATGTAGACTAGTTGTATTTCTGTTCATACTTAGATCGAGATTAATAATTAATTATCTATAATTTGAGACATAAGGTATATACATGAGGGTTCCCTTGTTTGGATTATTTCGCTCGACGTACTACGTCTCAAGTTATAGGTATTTAAGTATTAATTCCATCTAGTTGTGTGATTTGGATACTTGGATGATTACCTGTTGGCTAGCTGCGTTATCTTGACACTTGGATGGTTTTCTTAGATTCTTCTGATGATTTTATTCCAGTGATAGATTGTATTTAGATTATTAGTAATTCCTTTGCATGTTATTAATATTATTATCACTGTTTTTGCTTTGGTCGTTCGATCGTTCCTATTTCTCTCTATGGGATCTTGTCGTGTGCCATGCACCCTGACGTACACCTGTTTTCTCTGGTGTACGTCAGATTTAGATGACGGACAGGTTCTGCTGGGAGATCATCAGGAGCCAGAGGATTCTCAGCAGGAGTGTCCCGCAGACGGAGCAGAAGAAGCTGAAGCTTAGTTATTGGTCATCAGTTTTCTTTTGTACTACCTTTTATTTCCATTTGATCAGTGCATTTTTATATTTTCTCCAGTATTTCATTCAGATAGTTTGTATAAGGGCATGTTTGATCCGAATATTATGTCTCGGATGTTATCCTATTTGTGATATGATATTTTTATTATGAGTTTGTCTATTATACTCTTGCTGATTGTGATCGGGAACCTGTGCCTTAGCATTGTATTTATTTCCAGACGCTTAGCGTATTGGATTGAGAAGAAAAAAAGAGAAAAAAATGATAGTGTATATTTCTTCTCAATCTAATACGTCGCGGGCTTGTTCACGTTCCGGTTCCCGTGTATTTTGGGAAGCGGGGCGTGACAACAATTTTTTCAAAAAAGGGGGCTGCAGCACATGTTTGAAAGTTGGGGGGGTTGGGGCACATCCAAAGTTGGGATTTGGGGCCTTGAAGCAATTTTTCCTTATTAATAAATTCATATATTAAAAATATTTTAATATTATAGTTTCTAATATGTTAGAGATTATTAATAATGGTAATATTATTTATTACTACTATATTATTAATAAATTTATATATTGCAAATATTTTAATATTATATAATATATTATAGTTTCTAATATGTTAGAATTTATTAATAATACTATTATAATTTATGATATAAAAAATATTATTATATTATGAATATATTATTTTTGCATTATTATATTATTATATAAGATAATTTAATTATTTTATATTTATATTATTTAATAAGTATTACTAATATATTAGATTAATTATAATATAATATAGTATGGGGACGGTTGTGAACCGTCACAATAGTCATAAAAACCGTTGCCTTACATCTATGGGGACGGTTCAACAACCGTCTCATTTACGGCCGTGCCCGTAGGTCTACTGGGACGGTTTATGATCCTAGTGGAACGGTTTGTAAACTGTCATCATTAGTACCCTAAGGGAACGATTTTGCTAAGGGGTCGGTTCGTGGTTTAGATCAAGTGGAACGGTTGTATATCAAGTGGAACGGTTTTTAGATTCTAAGCAATGGGAACAGTTTGATAACAAGGGGAACGGTTTTTAGGTTCTAAACAATGGGAACAGTTTGATATTAAGGGGAACAGTTTTTACTTTTGTGAAATGGGGACAATTATTTAGCAAATGTGACGGTTTTAGATTTTGGAGCAATGTCAATGCTTATACAACAGTGGAAATAGCTTTCGGTTTTACGCTATGACAATGCTTGAATAGTTACAGTGATAAGTACTTTACAAATTTTACACATAGCAAATTGCTACAGTAAAAATCAAATGCTACAAATATATGGTAGCAGCGATATTTATATGCTGTTGTAATATTTGCAAACAAAGAAATTATAAAGTCTAAGGTTTACAAACAACACCACCAAAATCTTAATCTTAACAGAACGAACCTTAAAAAAGAATGATATTGCAACAATTCATTAACGGAAGGAACTTTTTTGCTTTTGTCCAAAATACATATCTATATTCCTCCATTATTAAATCGCAAAAAAGTTCATCACTTAACAGATTCTGGAACTTGCTCAGAGGAATCCATGATCTTTTTATTTTTATTCTGGAGCATGGTTTTAGTGACACCCCTCCCCCTAAGACGTACACGTCCAGGATGTTCATCTTTCTTGACTAAATCCCATGCATCATCATCTTCATCTTGAGATTTGAGTTCTTCTAAAGCACCCTGCATTAGCAAAATTTATATTTAGTTGCTATGCATGTTATATGAAAATTAGGACCTAAAAAGCAATATATGAATATTAATATTTAGGAAATATGGCACATACTTACTATCAAATTGATTGTTTTCTCTCCTTGTGGATTTATCTTCTTTTTACGGGTCTCAATAAACATTTCAGCTTCACTTGGAGGTCTTCCCAACTCATTTTCCTATAATAAAGACATGATAGTTAAAATATTGATAAATACATTAAAAACGAACAAAAAGAAAGGATGCAGTTAATAAGTAACACTAAAAAAAATTGAAATACCATTTTTTGGCGAATCCTCGCAAAACTTATTGTCCCCGTAGTGTGCATATATTCTAGACCTTCACGATTTGCTTTGTTGGTCTCACTTGTTTTCTACACATTTAGAAGGAACATGTATTTAAAAAACAACCAGACCATTAGTATGAAACGATAAACGAGTGAACAAGAAACGCTAAACGAGCCTATAAGGCTATAACTCCTGTAAGTATGAATTCAATAATTTATATATGCAACATAATAAAATACATAAGGGTTTGTCCATGTCCAGGTCCAGTGTAGTAACACTGGAGCAAGTTCTGACCATAGGAGTAACTAAAATGTTTTCCCCCATAATTAACTACTCCTAAAATGTTTTCCCCCATAATTAACCACAGTCCTGTATTAGATAATTAATGCAATAAATATGTAACTTATTCCTCTTTTTGTTAGTGTCAACTTGAGTTTCGTATGTGCATGAAGTTTGTACCAGGAATTGCCATCGCCTAATAGCTTTCAGTGCAAAAGAAAGAAAAAACAAATTTCAAGAATCAAGCACATATCTTATAATCCTGATTGCTATAAGCATGATAAAGCAATGTTACTGTTATTAATTAGTTGAACTACTCTAGGCTTCAAAGCAAAGACAAGTACTAATTATATGAAAGTTGAAAGTTATTTGCTAATTGCTAGATGTTCCAGTCAATATTACATGAACATTGTTTTGAAGAGACTCAGATGCAAGTCCCATGTTCAACATGAGCATTTGAAGTGGCTGATACATGCATTTAGTCAGATCATCACAGATCATCAGATACAGAATTCCTAGGACCAACTACAATTCCAGGAAATAGAGCATTTACATAGAAATGTAGTATTATTTTAGAAAGTAAAGTTGCAATTACTGATTAATACTGACCAAATTCATACAATATACACAAAAATGAGTTTCATGGCAGGTTTTGGAAGATAGCGTGTAAATTTTGTGGACATGTCTGTTTCAATTTAACAATAACTGAAACTTCTTTTAAACCCACTCTGATTATTACCGATTAATACTGCAGAACACTGAAAGTTCATGGGGGTTTAGTGTAACTTAACATTCATAAACCTATACTATATTATACAAAATTTTGCCAATTCCTTTCCTACTTTAGAACTGGCAGCTTCTGGTATTACTTGAATGTCCATAGTTAACAAAGCAGGTAGGTAAACATTTCTGACGCCATTCCATGCTTCGACAACTCTTAACACAATCTGAAACATATTTATATTATTTTATTAGCAAATAGATAGCTGTGACAAATAACTTCTTCCATGCTTCGACAACTCTTAACACTAATCTTCCAGGATCTTCTATCTTTCATTTTCATTGACATTTTCATTCAAAGAATTGCCAGGAATGCTTACCGTGTTGTTAATTTCTCGGCATTGCAGCAATTGCTGCTGAAGGCTTTGAACTAGCTCATGAAGCTTTTAACTGCAGGAATTAGGGAAATTCAGTAAATCGATCACTTAGGCAAACTGTCAAACCCTAATTCTACCAACTGCTCCAAACTTCCACAAAAATCATGGATTGTTAATGCCAAGTATGAATTATACAGTAATCTTAGAGGTTTAGCAAGTATCCCATCAAATTCCTAGTTTGTGCCAAGTAAACTCACTTCGTACAATTCCACGAATTGGGAAATTAGGGAAATTGTTCATTTTATCAAACCAATTGTCAAGCCCTAAATTCTATCAATTGCCCTAAGAAAGCCACATAAATCCCCAAATCAAACCCTAACACCAAAAACAATAGAAACTAATGATATCAACAAAAAAATCCTACCCAGAATCAGAAAACCAAGAAAGCAACATACCAGTATCTGACAGCCTTGCATCTCGAGCACCTCGTCGTTGCGTGCCGATAGCACACAACACACTGTGGCAGCAGAACCTGAGCTGGAGGCGGTGGCATCGCCCAATCCCCAACCCTAATTTCTCTGCCGGCATCAGCTCCGTCATCATCAACCGCAGGAGATGGCGCGAATGGAGGCACCATGTAAGCAAGGGTGTCGGCCTCGGCCCTGGCCGCCTCCTTGGCTGCCAGCCACGCCAGCCTCCTGACCTCCTCCCTCCTCACCACCGCCATCCTCCATTTCCGTCGACCCAAGAACCAGATCACGGCGGCAGCGATGACAGCGACCGCTACAAACCCTAGATCCGCTGTTGGAATAGGTCACCGATGAGAGTCTCAGAGGGGTATTAAAAAAATTTCATTTTCTTATATAGCTACGCCTCTGGCTGCCTTAGACAAATAGGAGAGGAGTCGACGAGAGGAGAGGAAGATGAGAAAACCCTAGAACTATCGGGTGAAGAATAAAGGCTATCGGGTGAGGAGCGGTTCTGAGAGAGAATAAATCCTCTCTTTTGTTACAAAAGTTTGGGCACGAGCCCATAATAAAACCGTCCCTTTAGCCTTTGAAAAATTTTTTTTCAAGCCTAGTACAAGCCCAACATTTTATTTTGAAGCGTTGCCTTTGACTCTTTCGTGACGGTTGTAACCGTCACACAACCGTTCCCTTAGGAGGCAAAGGAGACAGTTTTGAACCGTCTCCATATAACCGTCCCCATATATCTATTTTGTGGTAGTGTATGTTGATAATAAGTATATATTAATTATATTTAATTATAATGTTAGATATTATATTAACACCTACTCAAACTCAAACCAAAACACTAAACTTAAAACACCTAAAATGTAATTTAAAATAAGTCTTGTGTTTTTGGTTTGAGGATGATTTAGCTCAAAAACATCATGGTTTCCAAATGCATGGTGTTTTGTTTTTGGTAAAAACACCATAGAAGCAAGTAAAACACAATGGTATCTAATTAGTCATTAATTCAATCATTAAGTTGTTTCTGTTTTTGTCAATCTTCTTCGCCAAAATATTTTACTTCGATGGTCTTAAATCAAATCGGTAGCTCAATTTATTTTCATATCATTTTTACTTTTTTTCTAAATTAAGCTAATTAGTCATTAATTCAATCTCTCAAAAACATGCGAACACATAAACTTACAACAATTCGTGGATTGCAATTGTTAAAACACAAAAGTTGATAGTAAATTATTAGCATATCTTTTAAAAGTGTATAGTATGGATGCTTTATATTTATTGATCCATTTTTTATTATATTAATTAGTGATATATCCAATACAAACATTAAAATACAAAATTTATAAATTGTTAAGAATAATTTATGACACCTTTAACATAAGCAGTTCAGCTTGGTTCAATTCATGATATGCTGCCCACTTCGAGATCATTTTGCCTACTTATTATAACTTGTATATGCACCTAAACAAGCTTTGATTTTCACAGTTTTCCTTAAAATTCCTTATTAATATACATTTTATCATACTTTGGATAAAATAATAGACATTTGACTAAAACTAAAGAACTATGCATCAAACACTTGATTCTCAAAATTCTCTTCCACTTCACATACTCTTCTGCATACTTTTATTTATATACAAGAATTCATCTTGTAGTAAATAAATAAAACAATATCATAAATTTTATAGAATATTTTCTCGACTATTTTGAATGTCATTAGATATGTCTTATCTGCAAAGAGCTTAAAAATTAGAAAATTTGATGAACAAGAAATAAATGATCAAATAACTTTGTGTGATGCTTTCAACTCAAAGTTGAATAAATAATTTGATATTCATTCCTTAAATAGTTTTTCTCTTCATAATTGTGTTTGATATGTAAATTAAATATATGCACTTTCCTCAACTAAATTTATCGAGGGTTTTTAGCAGAATGTTGGCATTGAGTATGCAAATTAACCTTATTTTTTCACAACCATAATTTAAAAAATGAATCTTCACCCATGTTATTGCTAGTAAAATTTAATGCTTTTAATTCAATGTAAAAAAAGTAAAGATAAAAAAATATTGTAAATTAAACATTATGAATACTACAATTATTTCTATGTAAATGTAACATTATAAAACTTTCTTTCTAATTGCGTTTTTACTTTCTAAAATCTTAAAATTCTGCATATTTTGTTATGAATTGTTGTACATATCTGTCAATGGAATCAGATTGATAAGCAAATCAAAGTAAACACAAAATGAAATCCAATTGAGGGAGGTCCTAACAACACTTATATTCATTTGATCTAATCAAGTATGTAATTTTATATTCTTTTTACTATTTATTCTTGTGAGCATATGTTTTTTTTTTGAATGAAAATAAGGCATACTGTCCTATCATGTATATATAAACCAAAAAGAGAGTTTTTACAAAAGATATCTGATTGTGATTTGGCCCGAGACTCCGAGTTGGAGGGTATTAGACCAAATTATCAAAAGATGTCTCTATGGAGAGATCCAAAACAAAACATCTAACAGAAACTACAAAAAGCAGGGTATAACCAGATCTGAATCTGAAAAAACAACAAAGAAAAGAACTGCTAACAAGGAGGCCACTATCCATGAGGGATTGGAAGACCATTGCTATCTGCACTTGATTCTGCAATATCGGGGAGCCTGAGCTGAAGATGAGCTTGTTCAACTTACTAGCTATCTTGGAAAAGGAGGCACCTGTCCAGAAAAGAAGAAAGTGAACCGCCTTGTTGATGATATGCTGAGGTGTAGAAGACTTATTAGAGAAGATGAAGTCATTCCTAGCTTTCCAAATGATCCTGTCACACCCCGCTTCCCAAAATATACGGGAACCGGAACGTGAACAAGTCCGCGACGTATTAGATTGAGAAGAAATATTCAATACTATTTTTTTTTCTTTTCTTTTCTTCTCAATCCAATACGCTAAGCGTCTGGAAATAAGTATAATACGAAGTCCAATCCAATACGCTAAGCGTCTGGAAATAAGTATAATACGAAGTCACAGGTCCCCGATCACACATAGCAAGAATATAAAGACAACCCAGAAATAAAATAGACATATCATCAATGGTAAATCATCCCAGACATAAAATATGGGTCAAACGTACCCTTATTACAACAACAGTTCAACTAGGAAATAAGAAATACATAGTCCATAATAAAAGGAAATAAAATGACTAAATCTATCATCAAACTAAAGAAAAGTGCGGTAAAAGAGTTTTAATATCCAACTACTACTACAGAAGAAAATCACTACGCTTCAGTTGGTTCTTCTACTCCTTCTGTAAGACACCACTGCTAAGAATCTTCTGGCTCCTGTACTATCCCGAACTGAGGCTGCTCATCTCCTAAATCTGACGTACACCTAGAAAATAGGAGTACGTCAGCGTGTGAAACACATGGTAAGATCCCCCAAGGTAGGAACAAATACAATAACGGTAATGATAAAATATGCATGGTCAATGCGATAACAGAAATAAAAATGGAACATGTGATGATAGTAATAACAATAGAGGCGTGCAACTGGAATACTAATAATCAGACGAATCCAAAAATCAACCAAGTAAGAAGATCAGCAGATAGCGATCAGAAACCATCCAAGCAACAAGATCATACAATAGATAGAATTAATATTTAAAAATCTACAACAAGAGACGTAGTACGTCGAGCGAAATAATCCAAACAAGGAAACCCTCATGTATATACCATATGGTAACAAGTCATGTAACTAGCCATTCTATAACAGATCACTGGTTCATATCTCACACAGAGTCAACGCTTATATTATCGGATAACTGACTGTTCGCATATCCCCCACGTGCATCCAAACAAATAAATTCAGGAATCAAAGTAGCGACACCGATCTACTTTGACCCAACCAATGAGCCCCTAGTGGCAACACCGATCCACTGTGACTCAACCAATCAATAAATCCCAGTGGCGACACCGATCCACTGTGACTTACCAAACCAACCAATCCCAGTGGCGACACCGATCCACTGGTACGAACCTGGAAGATATATCAACAGTCTTATCCGATTATATAAACATAGACTTTCCCATCCCCACTCATCTTGTTTTTCTAAGTCAACAACACACAAATCTCTAGGTCTTACTCACGTCACACAGGTCATTCTAGTCATAAACTACCAAGGTTCTCAAACACCACAACGAGATAATAATAACATTAATTTCACGCAACCATATCATGACATGTCGAATACAGTAAAATATTCACAAAACATGAAATATAATCATGAACAGCAACTACGTAATTCAGAAAATAATTCATTTTCCAACTAATTTCTTTTAAAATTATTTCTCATTATCATAATCCCAAAATATTCTCTTTTCCAGAATAAATTCTTTAAAATTATTTCTCATCAATTATTATTCTAAAATAATTCATTTTCTCATAAATAAATTCTTTTTGAATATTATAAATTCTCTAAAATAAATCCATTATCAAATTAAATTCTTTTAACTTATTATAATTATTCCAAAAATACTATTTATCACATATCAATTATTCAGATCAATGTTATTCAGTAACCAACCCACGCAGATAAATACGTCACAAATATACTATGCAAATAATTTATAACAGATATAAAATTCAGATCTGAGCAAGAGGGATCTTGCCTCAGGGTTCGTCTAACGGGTCGACGTCGACGGACGGGACTACGGCTCGCAGATCTGAGTTGGGGGCTAACGAGGGTGTCGCCGTGGGTCTGGACAGCGAAGGGAAGGCGCTGGAGTTTGGACAGCAGCGCGAGGGAGCGAGGGGCTGGGGGCGACGTCGGGGTGGTCGAGGGGGTCGCTGAGGACGGCGAACAGTGGGGTTTGAGCGGCTGCAGGAGGCTCGAGAGGGGCTGTCGGCGCGGCCTGGCGGGGCTGCAGGTGGGTGGACGGAGGAGGGGAGGATCTGGGGGCGGTCAGGCGGCGGAGGTGGTGCAGCCAGGCGGCGGCATGTTGTGAACAGGAGAGGAAGAAGAAAAACGAAGCTAATATATATGTTTAAAATTAGGGTTTTGAAAAAAGAAAATTAATTAAAATAATTAATTATTGATATTTAAAAATCAAAATAATTACGGAATAATTATCTATAAAT